ACAAAAGATAAAGAAGCATCTTATAGGTTTAAAGTACAGATTGCATTTGGCCTTTGTGAATAAGTCTAGTCAAAATACAAAGTAACAGAAAAAGGATTAGATGAGAGACTAAAGAAACTGCACAAAAATGTATGCATTAGAAAAACACATAATTTTTTGTAAATTTTGCTTTTATTCTAATCTTATTTTGGCCTAAATCAAATCCTGACTTAATAGACAGCAACAGCAATTTACATTAAGAACTAAGAATAATTATCTAAGGAGCACTGTTTTAAATACCATTGCATTCATAGTGTCCTTATCATACCTTAGAAAAATGACCTTGAGTGGTACTTTTAAACAGAACTAGGACCTAACTGAACAGAAAAGCATACAGCTAGGTGCACATTTTTAAAAATGCACACACAGTTTTTCACATACCTAACTTGAACACCTACAAAGCCTGATTCACATGCAAATCAAGGATTAATACTTTGTGTGCATCAGCCATTACATGAAGACAATTTCATATGAAATGCTTAGTGTGCATGCATCTTTAGGTTTAAGTTTACATATACACATAGCTATGTATGCACATAACTCTTGTGTATGTATCAGGTTGGAACGTTTGAAAATTTGCAATTAACAATCTGATTTGCTACACAAGTACAATACAGGCAACCTCTCCCCCCGCCCCCGACACACACACATTATATACTGCAGGAAGCACACAAACACAATCCCACACTATCATCCCAACATAAATCTTAAAAGAATGGAGTACAGGGGAGGAGGAAGGAGTTCAGAATGTAAATGGATCAAGTTTCTTTCAAATGTTTTTATGAGAAAACCTGTTTTACTGGTTTCTAGATGAGGAGCTTTTTTTACTGAAAACACTTATTTTCTATTTTACATATGTTGTGTCAAGTTACTGATATGTTCTTTTATCTGATATTCATTGACTTTGCTTCATCCTTTAGCTGAAGACAATGAAAACTAAGAATCTGCACAATATGAACTTACAACTTATTTAATACTTTGACTCCACAGGGCTCAAATACCTTTGAGCCATTTGTCTCATGGGGTTAGTTGGCTTAACCTTTTTAGATTTCTCCAAACAAACTAACTTGAGCTTCAGCAAGCTGTTTGCCAGAGATTTGAACTCTGGGGGAAAACAAACAATACAAAAACTCCCACCCATCCCATAACACAGCACACCAAGGCTCTGTCAGTCTCTAAAACACGTTCTTACTCTTCTGTTTGCTTGGCAGACTCATGTTCACCTATCTTTCAATCTCATTATGCCAATGGCTGATGCCAAATCTGTGTTTGGACTATGATTTCATTCCATTGTTATCTCAAGCAGCTCCCAACTTAGATATGATGAACATAGGACAAAATAATTTTTTGTAAAGGTCAAATTAAGGAACCTCCTCAGTATTTTTAGGTTTCTGATCTGAAATTAATGACACATGGTGAAACTATGCCTTTGACTTGGTGGGGAAACTCTTCATGAATTCAAATATGACACATGGTGAAACTATGCCTTGGTGGGGAAACTCTTCATGAATTCAATAGTAGTTGTATGAAAGTATCAACCCTATCATATGGTCTGTATGTGGAACATTTAGGCTCTTTAGATCTGTTACTTACTTTAAAATGCAGCTTCTTTCACTTTAAGACAGCATAATGATTTCACAGTAACAAAGAAACAGCCATATTGTAACACCACACATCTAAAAACAAAGAAGGAGAGTCATCTGTGAGGAGGAGGGATTCTATCCTGGGAAGCATAGACTCTGAAAAAAGACTTGAGATTCATGGTATTGAATCATCTGAACATGGCCACCCAGTGTAACACTGTGACCAAGGGCAACGCAATCCCTGAGTGCATAAACCCAGCAATATAGAACAAGAGTAAGTTATATTACCTCCTGTGTTTAGCACTGGTGCAACTGCTGCTGGAATTCTGTCTCCAGTTCCAAAGTCCACAATGCCAAGAGGCTATTGATACACTGAATAGGGTTTGGAGAAGAGCCACAAAGAAGGATTGGGAAACATGCCATGTAGTGAATGGCTCAAGGAGCTGGATCTTAGGAGGAGTTTAGATTAACAAACAGAAGGGTAAGGGATGACTTGGCAATCTATAAGTATCTGTATGGGGAACAAAGATTGGAAAAGTAGGGCTCTTCAATATAGCAAACTAAAGTGTAAGTGGTCCAATGGTTGAAAGTTGAAGCTAGACAAATTCTGACTACAGGTTGGATCTCCCTGGTCCAGTACCCTCAGAACCTGATTGGTTTCAGATGAGGGATTTTGCCAGACCAGGGGAGGTCTTCCTCCCCCTCCCCCCCCAACACTATTCCCAAGCCCTGGCTTAGCTACTAGCTGAATGCTGGGTCTCCCACTGCTGCCAGCCCTGCTGCCATGTGCTGGTCTTCCTAGCCACGAGCACGCCTGACCACCAGCCCTCCATCAGGACTCTCTAGTTCTGCAACATCAGCCCCCTCCCTTCCTGCACATGCTTCCCTGCAGAGCAACTGATGTTTGGGAGGATTTTGGTTGGGGTAGTTCTGGATGAGGAGGAACACCCCCAGCCAGCTCCTTTCACTTGCCTGGTGATTCTGTTTCTTTTCTATATGGTTTTATGAGAAGCAATTCCATTCCAGGCACATCCCATTTTCCTGGCACAACCAAACTCTTACCTTGTTTAAGTTATGTTGAAAGGAAGCTGTATATCAAATTTGGTGGTGCTAAGGTTTATTTTTTAGGGGAAGTTTTTGAACAAACAGATGGACACATAGAGAGACAGACCAGACACCTCTGAAATATGTACAGTAGTAGTGAATAGTAACATGTCTAATTTGTTCCTTCTATTTTGAAAAAAAAAATGTAATGCCCAAAAGAGCTGGCTTGTTGCCACGTGTGACATAAATTCTTTGTCTATAGAAAAAGTCCACCATGACAAGCTTCCCTTTATAGCTGCCAAGTCTTGTGCAGTCCAAATGTAACATTTATGCAAATTATATAATGCACTAATCTGCAAACAGTTATAAACTTTGGCTTTTGGCCTATATATACTGGGTGCAAGCAGTGATGCAGAGAGGCCATGGAGTTGCACAAAACTTGGCAGTGATGGCTGGGGTGCATGAGTAGGCGAAAATAAGGTTGATGGGAGTACTGAGGGAGGTGATGGTAATTGTCTGGGACTGTTTATGGATCTGTGGGGGTTGGCATCTCCCTGGATGGCTGACTGTGACCAGGGAGACTAAAGGGCCTATTCTGAGAACCTTCATCTTCTGAACATGTCAAAGCTGCTGCCACTGCCAGCTCCTTCCAGCAGCTCCTTCCTTACTGGAATTAAACAATGGGGGCAAGAGGAGAGGTAGATCAGCCACATGGCTACATGCATAGCAAGTAGTCCCTTGGTGGCCAAGAGGAGAGGAGCAACTACTGTTGCAGCCTTGTGGGAGGAGCAAGCTGGACTTGTGAATGCATGACTGGGCTGCCAGCTACATCAGTGTCACATGACACATAAAAGTCTTGGTAGTGTGCTGTCCCTGCCAAGGTTTCAAGAATCTTTCATCTCTAGTAGTGAGAGAGTAGTTTAGTTTCCTTGGCTCATCTAGTCCAGCTCAGTTGGAGAAAACTTGTAACATGAGTATTTATTTCTCCAAAGTTTGGTAATCATTTTCAGAATGTAGACACTTGCTATTAGGAACTGGATCAAGACCAGCAACTCATTTTGTGTGTGGCATAAGATAGCCTTCATTCTGACACTCAAACATTCACATACAATGACACTCGGGGTATGTCTACACTAGCCCACCTCATTCCATGAGGAGTAACAGTTAATTCAAACTAAAGACTTAGTTCGAATTGCCGTTTCACTGCCGCATGTAGCCGCAGGCAGTTACTTTCGAATAGTGGAATTTAAAAATGGCGACCAGATGTCGACTAGTGGAATTTAAAAATGGCGACCAGATGGGAAGATGCAAATAAAGCCCGGGATATTTAAATCCTGGGCTTCATTTGCAACTTCGAATGCCTACAAAAGTGGCAAGGAGGCCTGTGGCACCTTATAGACTAACCAGAGTGTTGGCGCATAAGCTTTCGTGGGCAAAGACCCACTTCGTTTGCAGTTAGTCTATAAGGTGCCACAAGACTCCTTGCCACTTTTGCAGATTCAGACTAACACAGCTACCTCTCTGATATTCGAATGCCTACATTAGCCTCTCTAGTTTGAACTAGGGGGCTAGTGTAGACATACCCTCAGATACTATTAACCTGGTTGGGACAGGTTACATGTAAAACATGAAGTCTTCATGTTCTTATTTCTTTATTTTGAAGGCTAAGCTTAAAAAGGAGGTATTTTGCAGTGTCTTTCAACAAATTCTTCCTAGCCTCCAAACCTATTCTCAGGTCAAATTAAACCTCTTGGCTGGATCAGAGCAGGGAAAGTTATATTAACAGTACTATGAAATGTTTAGGGCTGTGAACATAAAAGGGTTTAGGATTTACTTTAAATACACAGAGAGAGAGTATGTTCACTACAGTTCACTCACCACTCCAAAAATAGTCTAGCAAAATTTTATAATGTATATTTAGCACACATACAGTAACTGAATAATTGACCCATTTTTTCTTAGAAAACTATTTTCAATTGATCATTACACATGGATAATTTCTCCATTACTAGAAGAACTTTTTCTAAATGACTGCCACATTCCACTGCAGGAATTTGGTTACTGTACTCTTCTTCTTTGTGTGCTTCACAGTTACTTTTGAGTTCACATGTATGATACAAGGCCTTATTAATGAAGCAGCAATCTGTAATCAGCATCAGAAAGCTCTTTATATGCTGTGCTAACAATGTTTTGATATGCCTCCCCCCCCTCTTTTTCCTTAGCCGCCTGAGCTGCTTGGCCATGTCTGACTTCCTGATGATGAAGCCTTTGCTGGCAGGTTGCCCAGATTGCTGCTCTCCTGTAGATTCCAGTTTCTCTCCAGGAGTTGCCTGCCTTCAGCATAATGGGCAACATTGAAAGCAGCAAGGCGTTCGGTCGACAAGGTCAGAGTGCCTTTCATTCCTGCAATAATCAACCAGTGTAGCTCTTCCTCAGACCTGGGGAGAGAGAAGATAGAGGTCAAAAGAGCAATTACATTTCACATTGACTCCAGGAAAGGCTTGGAACACAAAACTGGAAGGGGGAGGGAGGAAGCACAGAGCTTCTCTCTTTCACATTTCTTTTCTGGTCATTATTAATAAAACAGTACAGCAACCATGTCCATTGTGAACATTATAACATGAAGAACCATTTTCCTCCAGTGGATGAGATCTGTCTTCTCAGACATTTAGCACTGTCAGCATATTGCAAAGGCATGTAAATGAGGTGCACAATATATAGCCAGATACAGTGAGCAAATCTATTAATTATGTTAAAGAATGTTAAACCTCACAGACTGTAGAATAAGCAATTCTGTTAATTTCAGTCAGTAATCAGTCCCTTAATTAGCATAACTTTATTTATTTAACATTAAGACAACAATTTAGAGAATATAATGTAGTTGGAAATGTCAGTAATTTTCTGATGGCATATTGTTGTTACAAAGTTACCTTTATGTGACCGTACAGCTGCCAGGCCTAATTACTTTAATGGTATTAATTGTATTGACCATTCGCACAGTGTAGCTTCTAATTGCTATTTTTGTTTGGATCACTGCAGAATGTGTCATGTTTGCTCCAGTCACCTTACATTGTTTCCTTGTATATTTTTTAAAGCAGAGGCCATCCATAGTTTATAAAAAAAGTCCTCTTAATAAAGAATAAATCAGAGTCAGTCCTTTACAGAGAACATCTGCACATTCTAATGTTAATACAATTTGATATTAGAAGAAGGTAACTGATCTATTTACTCATTGCCCTTCCCTAGTTTTATGAAAGATGAATTAGCTCAATGTTGACAAAGGATTAAGAAACTTGGTAGTGGGGTAGGTAGGGAACCAAAGGCCCCACGGCTGGATGCAGCCCCTGACATTGAGTATTCCAGCCCCTACATCCCCTCTCTCCCATGGGACTGTTGGGTTTTTTTGGTATGGTTTTTTGTTTGTTTGCTTTTTACTTATTTGTAGCTCTCTTGACTGATATTTTGTGGGTCAGCGACCCCTGCCCCAAAAAAGGTCCCCCCGCCCCTTTCTCATTTCACACTAGAGTCAGTCACTGTAAGAATATTCACTTCTTTGTTTTCAACTGTAAAATACAAACACAGTTTTATTCCATAATTTTCCATTAACACAAAATGTGAATTCAATTTCTTTATCCCATGGAACACGTGGTATTAGGCATTACTCCACTGAAAACACTATATCACCAAAGAATTGAAAGATATATTATTTTATCAACCACAACGAGCAAACTAAGACCTCTCCTCAGTAGTATTACTGCTAAAAGGCAGGAGGGAAAAATCTGCAGAGTTTGGCTCAATCTCTTTTTAGAAACTATGCAGGAAATACAGTACAATTAGCACCCAAAGTTTAAGTATCACAGATAAATATTGTTTTTATAGGGCCAAAACCTAAAGTACTTATTGAGGCAAAACTCACTGAAACCAATTAAGGACAAGCCAAAACTGAATAAGGACTTAAGGAGCTGGCACTGAAGCTGTGTACACAGTGGGCAAAATTCCCACCAGTTTTAACACTGCTTCATCCATTTTGGCATTTGAAACTGTAGGAACTATAATGAAGATTCAGCTGTGGTGACTGGTACTGTTAGTGAAGCTTACTGAGACAAAAGTCTAATCAAATTGGTGATATAAACTTTTCTACCCACCACAGCTTTATTTATAGATCTCAGTGGCTCAAAGGCTTATTTTGTTTGAACCCAGTAGGAATCTGGGAGTAAATTTCAACAGTACAGAAAAGGCCTACTGTAGTTTTCTGGTGTGTTATAATGGAAACTTAAATTCTTCCTGCTCCTCCTTTACATACAAGCAGACCACATTGATATAAATCACAGATCACATGAAAGAAAATATTCACTAAAATATGCCACAGGGAATAATCCTACACTAATAAGGAGCTGGGTAAAATAGTAAGAGACACAGAGAGAATAATATAGCTAATATAATTAACGGTGGTTGATCTTATTTGTATTATAAAAAGATACCTGATACTTTCAGGACTTCTGTGTACAAAATACATTGACACTCTGTAAGTTGTACAGGTGCTCAGATGTCACAGTGTTACTTTTAGTATATGTAAACCTAGACAGATATTAAGAAACAGAAATGCTATTGGAAAACTTCCTGTTTCAAATAGATATATTGATTGTTTGCCCCACCTTTACTTTATATAATCCTTGCAAAAGAAGAAATGCAGCCATAAATGACCTTAAATTTGTACTGATAGCCTCATTAAACTTGATGACTAAGGCAGGCACTGTTGCTGACTTAAAAAGAAGCTATTGAGTTAAAGAGAGACTTAGCTAAATGACCTCATCACATGCAAAGAGATGAGAAATAATATGTAATGGGATTGCACTGTAACTATCACCTCTAGTGAATTATTTACAAAGCAATATTAACTGAGCCCTTTCTCAAAATTATAGAATACATATATTAGGCTAAATTCATAAGAGAAAAGAATCTATGGACTCCTATTGTGTTGGGTACGACAACCATAATTTAGGGTATGTTTACACTAGCCCCCTAGTTCAATCTAAGGAGGCTAATGAGGGTGATCGAAATTGCAAATGAAGCACGGGATTTAAATATCCTGCGCTTCATTAGCATGTTCCCGGCCGGTCGCCATTTTAGAAATTGACTAGCCTGAAGTAACTGCCCGCGTCAGTGAAACGGAATTCCAAAGTAAAGCCCTAAATCGAATTAGCTGTTATTTCTCCTGCAATGAGGTTTACTAGCTAATTCGATTTAGGACTTCAATTTGGAATCCTGTTTCACTGCCGTGTGTAGACGTGGGCAGTTACTTCGGGCTAGTCAATTTCTAAAATGGCGACCGGCCGGGAACATGCTAATGAAGCGCAGGATATTTAAATCCCGTGCTTCATTTGCAATTTCGATCACCCTCATTAGCCTCCTTAGATTGAACTAGGGGGCTAGTGTAGACATACCCTTAGCGATATGCACCCATAATCTCTTTCTAGAATTTTTATTTCTAAATTAACTAAACTAATACTAACCTATGCTAAACATAAATAAATTAATATACTGAAGAGGTCTGACAAGGCACTGTAAGTGTCACATGGATATATTTAGGCCAAGCTTTTCAAAGGTGACTTCTGACTGCAGAGGTCTCAAATTAGGTTGCCTAAATAAGGGGTCCTGATTTTCAGAAAGTGCCAATCACCTTTTAGACCACTTTAGTCTTAAGGTCCAAAACCACAAGTTACAGTAAAACTCCAATTGTCCAGCATCCAGTGGTCCGGCACTCCCGATAGTCCGGCACCAACTGGAATCCAGAAGTGCTCTGGCCAGCTGAAAAATTGGAGGGGCTGTGAGCCCAATGGGCGCTGGGGCTGGGAAAGGGGAGGGGAAAAGAGGGGAAGGGGATTATACCCCTGTGATGGGTCTGCTGGGACCCGCACTGCGACCGGCCGGGGGGGGAGAGGGTGGGCAGGGAATAGTGCAGCAGGAGTGAACCCTACACCATTTTGCAGGAAGGTGGGGGAAGTCCCGCGCCGCCACCAATAGTTTCCAGGAGCGGAGCGGGCTCCCCACCACCCAGACTGCAGTAGTTATTGCTGAGCAGGGGGGTGAGGGGCGGTGCTGTGGGACCAACCCAGCAGCACCCCAGCTGCTCTGCTCCGCCACTTCCTCAAGTCCGCCACTCGTCAGTTTCAGCAGTGGCAGACTTGGGGAAGCGGTGCAGAACATAGAGCATCTCCTTTAATAGATCCTGCCCCGAGGTATGTCTCTGTCCAAGCCATGTTCTCTTCCGCACTTATAAGCTTTTATCTATCCCTTAAAATTAAAAAAGCCAGAGAACTGTTTTTAAGTGCCAGCTACCTGGTTCCATTTTGGTTTAGGTGGAGCCCATCCTTCCTATGTAGGCTTCCCCTTTCCCAAAATTTTCCCCAGCTCCTAATAAATCTAAACCCCTCCTCCTACACCATTGTCTCATCCACACATTGAGACTGTTCAGATCTGCCTCTCTAACTAGCTCTGCACATGAAACTGGAAGCATTTCAGTGAATGCTACTATGGAGGTCCTAGATTTCAATCTCTTACCTAACAGCTTAAATTTGGCCTCCAGGACCTCTCCTACCCTTCCCTATCTCATTGTACCATGACTATTGCTCCTCCCCAGCACTACACGTAAATCTATCTAGAAGTCTTGAGAACTGAGGGACAAAACTCTTATCAATTTCACTTGGAGATCAAGACCAATATTATATAAGATGTGCTCTGTTTATGTATATATGGAAATATATGCAATATAGAATGTATGGAAATGCCAGAGAGTAAAATATGACCAATAAATACTTCATAAAAGAATAAATCTGTCTAGAACAGGATTAGTAATGGAGTTTTTTGAAAAGCATTAAACATTTTGACCCAAATCTGCATTAAATTTGCTACTCAATTTTTATAGTTTAAACAAGACTCTTTCTTTTTTTTTCTTTTTCCTGTTACCTACCCCAAACAAGACTCTTTTTTTTTCTTTTTCCTGTTACCTACCCAGAAATTTGGGAGCCTCATAAAATGTCAAATTCATCATTAGAAAACCTAACATTTCTAAGTAAAATACCGTGATTCTTCAAGTTGCCAGTTGTACATTTTTCCAGCTAATGGACTGTCTTGCAAAACCCTAAAGACACACTGTAGTGGCATAAAATTCAACCTAAATCATCCTTCAATATCTAGTTTCTTCATCTATAAAGCTTCCAACTTCTTTTACTGACTGCAAGACAAGAAAGCTTTTACAACATACCCAGGAGAGTAATATGTAGTGGACGAAGAAAGAAGATGACTACTTTACCCACAAGTTGGCCTTTGTAGCTGATTTTTAGCAAACTACAACTAGCTATGAAATAATTACCAAATTAAAGCTCCATTGAGAGTAACTTCAGAAAACAGTATCTAAAATTTGTATATGGATCATCCC